GGGAGGCAAAGAGACTCACACAAATATACGTAAGTACACAAAATCATATCTCATGGGGGGGGGGCGATAAAAAGCACACAAAGTCCCAGGACTGACAGGAAGTGGAATTAGAACCACAAAAGCCAAGCAGTCAACAACTTAAAAAACTCCAGATGCCTTGAGTTTATTGGAACTGAACCCAGGAAGGGAAGGGGAGAGGAGGCCTAGGCTGATGTACCTCAGGACCTTTCACTAAGTCAGAGAAAAATTACTGTACTTCTTTCACACTGAAATGCTTTGGTGCCATGAAACTCAACACATTTCTAAGATTCCAAAAGGCAATCGGGTAATAAAAGAAAATGAAACAACCAGAAAAGCTTTCATGATTAGCTACTCAGAACAAAGATTTTGATACCAAGGACCGTGAGAAATTTACCTCTACCTAAGAGCCAAGTAGATATAGAAACTTGATTATTTTAATCTTACAAGTTTTCAAAAGTTGGGGCTATATTCTGATAGTTCTCCTCTCCATCCTCAAATAGAATGCAATAATTCTAAGAGTTCTAGCTCTTACCAAATCAGTTCCCCTGGGACAATTACTGGCATGCCATCAAAAGGCAATTAAAGGAAGCACTGAGCATTCATTCAACAAACATTCCTAAAAGAAAAAATGCTCCTCTGCACAAGAGGGGCAAAGCCAATGGCGACAGTGTGACTGCCATCCTCAAGGAGCTTCCAGTCCACTAGGAGACACACATACATAAATGGATACCAGAGGATGTGCAAGAACTGAGAGCTATGAGCAGAGTGCTAGCACTAGAGGCTGGAGCTAACCTTATCTAGGGGAGTTAGAAAAAAAGGTCTAGCTTTTGTCTGGAAGAGTTCCACTAGACAGAGCAACAAGAAAAATGTAGGAGGGTTCCCGAGGTGTGGGAATGGCAAGAAGTTTGGTTTGATATAAAAAAGGTGAGATGGGAAGGGGGACACAATGAGTATTAAGAACCTAAGATGATAAACTCAGAGACCTCTAAGAAGTATCTATGTGTAGGCAAACAGTATCAAGAAGCAAGCACAGGGGCTGGAGAGATGGCTCAGAGGTTAAGAGCACCAGCTGCTCGCAGAGGACCCAGGTTTGGTTCCCAGCACCCACATGGTGGCTAACCAACATCTGTCACTCTGGGTCCAGAGGGTATGATGCCCTCTTCTAACCTCCGAGGGCACTGCATGACACAGGTGTACTTACATACATGTAGGCAATACACTCTACACATAAAACAAAAATATGACTGCCATCCTCAAGGAGCTTCCAGTCCACTAGGAGACACACACACATAAATGGATACCAGAGGATGTGCAAGAACTGGGAGCTATGAGCAGAGTGCTGGCACTAGAGGCTGGAGCTAACCTTATCTAGGGGAGTTAGAAAAAAAGGTCTAGCTTTTGTCTGGAAGAGTTCCACTAGACAGAGCAACAAGAAAAAGGTAGGAGGGTTCCCAAGGTGTGGGAATGGCAAGAAGTTTGGTTTGATATAAAAAAGGTGAGATGGGAAGGGGGACACAATGAGTATTAAGAACCTAAGATGATAAACTCAGAGGCCTCTAGGAAGTATCTACATGTAGGCAAACAGTATCAAGAAGCAAGCACAGGGGCTGGAGAGATGGCTCAGAGGTTAAGAGCACCAGCTGCTCGCAGAGGACCCAGGTTTGGTTCCCAGCACCCACATGGTGGCTAACCAACATCTGTCACTCTGGGTCCAGAGGGTATGATGCCCTCTTCTAACCTCCGAGGGCACTGCATGACACAGGTGTACTTACATACATGTAGGCAATACACTCTACACATAAAACAAAAATAATATTTTTAAAGAAGCAAGTACAGAAAAGCATGTGAGAGGTGACACAACAGGGCCTTATGCTAAGCAAGGCTTCAGAGAAGCAGCAAGGTGGGATAAGTCTTAAAGGAACAAGAGCTTGCAAGGCAGAAGACAGGGTTTTCTCGCAAGGCAGAAAAACCTGTGACACTGGAGTGCTTCCCTTCCAAAAGATATGCAAATAAAAAGACACTACAAGACAGGGTAGCCTTGGCTGGCTGCAAACTGACTGTGTAGCTAAGGTTGATCTTGAACTCCTGATTCTCTTGGCTCCACTTCTGAGTGCTGTGATCAGAAGCATGG